GCGCACAGCACGTAATAGTGTAGTATAGGGCGGGCGGCGGCGTGGATTTCGGCTGTCTGCGCTAAGGGAGGTATTACTGGTTCGACGATAGTGTTGCGAGAGATGCGATGCGCGCCGCCCGAGAAGAGGCGGATAATGCCAGAACAAAAGAGACACTTAGTCCTTGCGTCGAAGGACAACTGCGACGACGAGAGGAGAGCTTTGGACGCCATACAAAAGACGGTTTTATAATACCTAGCCCAATACAGGGCGCGCGCGCGCGCCCAGTAAATTTAAATATAAGTTGTGAATGGCGGCGCAGTGTCAAACCGAGGAGGCGAAGAGAAGAAGAAGCAGCCGAGAAGACTTTTCGGCGTGCCGTCAGCGCATTGTTTTCTTCTGGCGTCGACGACTTAAAGCATGGCCACCCGTTTGTCTTAATTATTTGTTTAATGTTGAAACGTCGGAATTTTAAATACTTGCCGAGTTTAAGTGTGTGCTCGAGATGCGAAAAACGCGACGCTTATCTCAGCATGAAAAAGAAACAAACAGGGAAAAATGTTGATTAGCCTAGATTTGCTACTTGACAAAACTAAAATACTATTTGTTAGAAAATTTTAAGACTAGAGACTAGATTCTGAGCTAATTGAATTTTTTTCGACACGATTTTAGAAGTAATACGTATTATAAATGCGAATTTAAGGGTTTTTGTATGTTTGTGTCACTGCTATACAAAAACCATTCAACTAATTTTGATAAATTTTAGTATAGAGATAGTTTGGACCTAGGAAAATACCATAGACTACTTTTTGTCGTGAAAATATAACCAGATCGGTGCGTAAATTAATTTGCAAGTTGGATTTCCAAAAATTGCAGATTGCGCTAATATCGCCTGCATCCAATCATTCGGAATATAGGCCCCCGAATAAAATTAACATAATCTATCAATAATCCGTGCCAGCGCAAAAAAGACATAAAACCCGAACGTAAAATTAATTCAGCAACTGCCGCGCCAGCTCTACTGCGCTTTGTCGCCGCGCTGGCTGGCGAATATAACAATCGCGGTCATAAATTCCCCGCGCGCGTATATGCACATATATTTCCATCAGCTCCGCGAAAAATCTCTTCCATTAATTGAATCCAATTCCATTATAAAAATAGTTTCAGCGTTTAAATCTACGCGAAGACTTTTCCATCAGACGCATCTCGCAAGTACTCGTCCATGCGCAACGGATATGTGACACCAATAAGTACTTCCGGATCGAAAGCGATCAGCGCGCGCAAAGGGTGTGAGCCCCTCTCAGACGAAAAACGGTCTGACCCATACCCGGGGCCGTGTCGCCGCCTCCGTTTTCTATGTGTATGTCGGGGTGTGACGTCATATTATTAAACCTCGGCGCGTTTGTTTGCCAAAGCCATAAAATAAGTCCTCCTCCTTTGGTGGTGAACAACCACTACCCAGGCGGGTCGCACTGGCGACGTACACAACCCCCGGAACGTCCGACACTGTTTTGTTTGTTGATTTATTGGCGCGTGATTTGAATTCCCTAATACGGCGGCGGTCCTGCCGGCTTCCGTCTTCCATGAAATTGGCTCCAGAGCAGCAGCTCCCGCCGCCGAAATCTTGACCGCGTTCCTATCGAAGAATTGTTCCATTCTTGGAAATTTGCATTCGTGACCTGATTAATTTTCTAATTTATTATATCGGTGAATATTACAAAATTCTTCCGCAAAGATGAAAATTTATTTATTTGTTAATATTTCACCTTCGCTAATCGTTTAACGTCGAAGTTGCGTCCGGTTTCGTGCCCGCGACCGCTGACATGTTATATAATTCGTTAACTTTGTTCACACTTCACACGCAACTGCGGCTAGCCGCCCCCGACACGCAACATGCCAACTTTACACAAATTTATGTCCTTTATTAGGATTAATATTATAATTTCGTTAACGCGCTGCGGCTAATAAAATATTAACGCCTCTCTAGTACAATACGCGCATATAGAAACATTTTATAAATTGTGTATTACCCACACAATTTATTTATTCACAATTAAAGTGATTAAAACTTGAACAGATTTTGATAATTAAAGTAAACAAACGGAATTCATGATGAATAAATTCATCATAAATACGCGGGGTGCTTACATCGCACAATATAATAAATTATTTATGCGAAAATAAAATCGAAATATGAATACAAATTATGTTTGGTAACAAAATATTCCAATTTTATTTCGTCTCGCATAGCTAATAACAAGAAAAACAGCTTTTTGATGTTTTGATGGATTATCAAACCGAGAGGAGTCTTCAATAAATTTCACCCGGGTGTTCGAATGTCTCAATCACACGAAAAAAAATAAATTTCCTGCCCTTTATAATATATAAATACCGGGCTTGTCTGGCGTGTGCGTTTCGAATGTCCCGATATAATTCTTCCCGCATTGGCGATGCTGAAATACAGCGCGCCAGCGTTTGTTGGCCTTGTTTTCGTTTCTTTTCTTTTCCCCGGCTTTCTTTGCTCACGACACACGAAGCGTGTGTTTTCTTTGCGCCGGCGTTCGTCTCTGGGCGAGTAAATTTACAAAAGATCGAAGATTCGCAATGATCAGTCGAACAAGCCAATTATAAAAACAATTATTGTTTGATATAGATAGAATGGAGTCGATAACGCTCGGATGGCGCGCGCGCGCGCGCTCGGCGACGTCATTCTTTGCAGCGCAAAAGAATTGCTTTTTCCGCTCCTAGTTTTTCTTTTATCTTCGACGGACGTTCCTTTCATCCCGCGTGTGTATTTTCTTTGTTCACTGCTTCGATTAAATGTTTATTTACTACGCGCTGCTATAATTTATACCTACTTTGAAAAAATATTTCGGGGACTAAACAATTGTTGCATGTTTATCAAAAAAAAAGTCCGTTCGTGTTGGTTGTGTACATGATGCGACACACAAGAGGAAGGGACGACGACATAGATGGAATTCTGCGCGGCGTGCGCGCTCCGGGGGCGGGATGTTTATTTAGTAAATTTGTTTGAACAGCACTTGGACTGCTTTTGTCCGGTTCCGGTACAAGTTTCGAGATTATATGCCCCCGTAATGTGTGCCGCGCCCATTACACACTGCACACCGGGCCCTCACTTCGCAGGCCATCCAGCGCAGGCTGCGGCTGTGGCGGCGGCGGTAGCCGTACCCAAATGGAATCATAAGCGTTTCCTTCACATTTGCCACACGAAATTACGCGCGTGTGCTCTCGGGCGCTCGTTACGCGGCATCACATGTGTGTGTGTGTGTGTGTGTGCCGAAAGATATAATTCAAGGCGGTGGTTAAATTCACCTTGACGTTTTGCTGTTTCGGACACTTTGTTTCGCAACATTACAAATTAGACACGCAGGCAGGCCCCAGTTGGACCCGAAAGTGTGACAGATGAGTAATAAACATGCACTTCTAATGAACTAAATAACTAATAATACAGTTTGTTGGGGAATTTTCGCCGCGTTTTTTTTTTCTGCGCCGCTTTTACTTTATCGTCGAGATAAATAAATACGCGGCACACTTAAATCGGAAACAGGCTTTTCAGGATTACAGAACAATGCTCTCAGAGTCACCTAAATCAGCTTATAAGTTCCACCCAGCAACGAAACGATTTTCCCCTGCACTATCGTATTTTTCTGCAACAATTTCCTAATTTTCTGCAGCGCAAAACTAGTTTCCCAAAGCAAAAAAACCGAAAAAATAAATTATAGTACCTAATGCCGATTAAGTGCGAGAAAAAAAAACAGATAATTCAAAAAATTATCATGAATCCACTTCGGGACGAAAAAAATATCTCATATACTTGTATCTAAATCTCTAAACCTTTCTTCTTCTCCTTCTTTTCCTTCATCTACTTTTATACTGCAAAGCCTTTGGCTTTTTTTTGCTTGCGGGTTGAAATTGCCCTCGAATATAGTGCATATGGGCGCGGGCGCCTCCACCAGACATTTCTTCTTCTTTGTCTTTTTGTCTAATAACACTTGAATCCCGAATCGTCGGCGGGCGCAGGCGACAAAAACACGTCGCACGTACGGCAATTGAATTAATAAATAATTAAACAAAAACTGCGCGAAAATTCAAATTGGTTTCGCCACTTCTTGGCGACAAACACGAGATATCCACAGACACAGACACATGTGTGTGGAAAACTGGGAAATTCTTAATTGTGCGCATAAATAACCTTTCTTTTTTTGTGAGTGTGTCGAAGGCGAAAAACATAAGAAGCACATTTCTCTCATTTCCTTTGTTCCTACTTCTTGCTCATTCTCGTTTTTTTTTTCTTTCTACGCGGGGAATATTTAGCAATGCTCTCGTTGCGGTTTGATGATATTATTCATGCAGCACCCCCCTGCGTCGAGAATGAAGAAAAATACCGCGCGTTCCGGGCGAATTTCAATGCACGCTGGAAAATTCAATTTTCCACTTCAGATAACGTTTAATAATAAATTATTGTGTTTTTAATACCGAAGGTGCCGCACACCGGACAACAACAATTGTACTTTGTTTGCTTCGGTGCGTAGTGCGTCTCTTTTATAGCGGGCGCGTAATGAAATCGCAAATTATTTTTAATTAGCTTTTGGGCGCGTGTAATTGTGAATATATATCGGTATACAACGCCTAAATATAACGGGCGTTCTCTTCGGCTGGCATCGGCGCGCAAAATTTGTATCTGCGCCCGATATCTAGATGGGGAAAAGCGGGTGCGTATCGGGGGTGCAATCATGGACGCAGCGCGCAAATATTAATTACCTTCGCGCAGCACGGCGCCGCGCGCCCGAGTATAGTGTAACACAATCGCTTGAAAATACAATAAATTTCTGGAATATTTAATTATTGAAATGAATCGCTGATTGCGTTTGGTTTGTAACTCAAATACCACACTCGTTTAATAATATCTACTCGCGCTGTCCTTTTAATATTCAATTTTGATTTGGTCGAAACGCAATAAAAGCAGCATGCGCGTGCATAATAATCATGCGGAATTACACTCACCAGAGTTCGTGTTCCTCGTGCTTGGAGGAAATAAAATCGATCACGGCATGATTTCTGTAAAGAAAAGAAACAGTTTTTTTTAGTTTCAAATTAAATACGGTTTTTTGAAACACGAAAAGAGCAATCCCTACTAATATTATAAATGCGAAAGTCCTGATGTTTGTTACACTTTCACGCAAAAACTACTTAACCGATCATCATGAAAATTTGTACACATATTCTTAGTGGTCCCCGAATGGTTATAGGCTACTTTTTATTTAATAAAAATAATTATTTTTTAAATAAAATAAAGAAATTGTTTAGCCAATAATACCTCTGCATCTGGCTATTTGACTACTTTAACGCCATCTAGCATTCCAGCAATGAAGCTCAAACCTAAGTACTATAGTACCATCACACTGTATTATCACACTGTATTACCGACAGCTACGTCAACATCAAATCCAATTGACTACACTATGGAGACTGTACACTATACTTCCATAGACTATACTTTCAGCCATTTTAAACTTTCCGCCATTCTACTTCATTGTTACTTCTTCTGTTACTTCATTATTTTAGATATTCGCGAGCGAAGCCGTGGGCTAAAGCTAGTTTAATCATATATAGACAAATCCATGACTAAAGCATTTTAGTCACGGGGTGGAGTTTGCGCATGCGCATTTGTTCAAATTCCCAAAACTAAACGTGAAAATAAAGTGAAACTAGAAAAATTACGTGCGCATCACTTCGCTAAACGTTGTTAAACTGCCACTTAGCACACTTGATACATAATCTACTATCCTAACTCTAGATATGTAATGTATTTATTCCTGCGCATTAAGAGTAAAATAGCGCTGATTGATGACGAAATTATTCCCTAATTCCGGGCAAAATGAATTAGATTACCTCTGCTTGTCAAGTCGTGAGTTGGGGGCTGACTGCATGTGCGCATATGTGACGAAACGAAAGTCAAGCGCATTTGAAAGGCGCTCGCGTGCAGATATTCCGCGGCGACGTAGAGTTGACGTAATGCAATCCAGCCCAGCCAGCACAGCGCACACTGGCGACGAGTCTCAATTATATCAGCGCAGAACGCCCGCGCGTTACTAAATCGCATAAAAGCAAATCTGCTTTGTGCGGCGTCGAATGAGGAATGGATCGAAACGCGTACACACACACATTAGCACAATGTATGAGGAATTTTGCAAATTTGCATTCGAAATTCGCGTCGGCTAATCACCTTCCAGACTACAAAACACGCGCCGCCGCCGCCGCCGTTGGCAGCAGCGCTGAATTTACAAATCGCGCACACTACACTGCTACAAATTATACCTAGAGGTGTGTACAACACGGTATTAACGTGCATAATTACAAATACAACCTTAGATATTCTAATTACCAGGCATGCCATGTAAATAATCAAATTTTAAAATACAACCTCTTCTTGTGCGAGTATTTAGCGATCGTGTGCGCTAATGCATGCATTCGAATAACTTCACACGTCTGACAAATCATGACTGATTGATCTAGGCAAGCGTTCTCGCCGCCGCCCAGAGAATGTCCCCGAGCATGTTGATTTCGTCGACTCGAGACAAATGGGAAGCATGCGGCGAAAACACACAGCGAACAATCGTAATTTGCAAATGCCTAATGAGAGTTGTTCGTCGCCGGCAACGGCAGAAAATGAAGAGTACGACACACGAGCCACATTTATAATGCAATGGTGTTAATCACCCGCACATAATTTACTCCGCTTCCACCTGCCTAAATACATAAACGTTAAAAATCCTCGCAAACAAGAGTTACTCGTAAATGTGATTGGGAAGCATGAGCGGCAGTTAAAATGTGAAGTGTTACATCAGCGTCAAGAACATTAACCACCACTACCTTCCATTCCTTCTCTCGCCGGGACTTTTACCAATTATTCCCACAATTCGGAACAATCGCAATCCACGCTCGGCGATTCTTTCCAATCGCAAGCCATTACATTGATGGAGCATCCAACTTTCATCTTGCTCCCCAGCCTCACTAATGGCCCATTTTCATGTTTAACAAATCAATCTCGAGTAAAAAGTCGAGCGCGCGCAAAAAACTAAATAAATCAACGTAAATAATAACCTCAATGTGCGGAGATAATGATCACTCAGTTAAATTAGCAATAAATTATGTCCCAAGTCACAATTAAAATGTATGAGCGTCCGAAAAGGCGCGTGTTTACGACACAATGAGAAAGAGAGCCATCACTTAATGAAATTAACTCATCATTTTAACGCTGGACTCAGCTTGAATTTTATTATCGTTGCAAAATACCCCAAGCAGTATCGAAATAAACGTTTTTACGGAATATATTCAGTTAATTGTGTGGATAAACACTAAGATTAGCCATAATTGAGCGTTGTTTCCCCTCAAAGCCGCCGCTGCTTTTTTTTTCTCATCGCGGCGCGCGGAAAATTTTAATTAAAAATAGTGATATTAAATTGAATTCGCCGACGACGCCAAACATTTTTCTTCTCGCCTTCTTTTCACTTGACTTTTCCATTGTAAGTAAAAAACAGTGAAACATTAAAAAGTGCAAACGCCCCAGTTCCTCGCCTCGCTCACTTTGTGTTCATTTCGGTATCAAAACTTTGCATCCCCGCCGCGCGCCCGAATAAAGAACTTAATTAAATTTTATAATTATACGTCAACATATTTTTTTACCAATTAATTATCATCAAAGATAATTCGTCGCCGTTTGCGGTCGTCGCAAGTCGGATGAAACAATGTGGAACACCGTTCCAGATGTCTTCTTTTTTTCCTTCCGCAGCAGTTTCGCCTGGCCGAGTTCTTTTTTTCTTCTGACACGCCTGGCTTTTGCGCTTGTCTTCGGAAAGATACATATTTCGGGGTAAAGTTTCCGGCCGCTGCGGTCGAAAGGGGACGCGCGTCGCTTTGTGGCGTGCCTCTAAGATTTAGTAAGCGTCGCGGCCGTCGAGGGAGACCGAAATTCTGTTGTGCAAGGTCCGACCCACTTGCCGCCGCCGCCGCCGCCGCGAGAAATAAATCCCTAAACTGTGCGCAGCGCGATGATTTAACTCGGTCGGGGGGCGACGCGTCACGGGCATGCACTCGTTATTTAGTGCGCATGATTGGACATTAACATAACTCGTGATTTATTACGCCCGAAACCTACGCGCTGAGCTTCAATTTTTCGAATATTACCTGCGCGCAAATAAACCCAACACAGCGCAGAAAAAAAGCAACAGTGTGAGTGGCGCATGAGGAGAAAAGAAAAGAACTTCCGGTTGCTCCTCATACATCCACACACACACACACACACACACACAGGCAGAGGAAAATAGATAGATATTGTGTAAAGTTAGCACTAACTGCGAAGCAGCGCCGAGTTATATTACTGGGGCGTAGACCCACGCTGTGACTCTCGGGACTTTCACAATGAGAAGAGCGCCGCCGCCGATTCAAGTTCAAAAAACTTTTCGCATAAATGCACAAAAGCCAAAGAAGCGGCGCGCGTAGTCTGCGCTAAGTAGACATTCAGAATGTTTCTGTTGACTCGTCATTTATAATAAACCTGCGATTGTGCAAAACGTTTTTGAATCCAATTCAATTTACGTCGATAAATATTATAATATAAAGTACTAGCGCCAATTAATAGCCCCCAAACTTCTATTAGGCTGAAAGCAATATTGATCAAATACAATGTACATTATCAAATTCAATTTGTGGCGAGCCTTTCACAATTGCTTTTGGTATATATTGCGAGTGTGGTTAATTGATATTGACAATTGCGTGCGACCTTTTCATTGTGAATTGTAATAATTGTTTTTGAAAAACTATCTTGTAATACACATAATTGTATATTATATACCTAAAGTGGAAAATAATGAATTATACACTCACTGTTTTCGAGTTGTGGGATTAAAAAAATGCATAATTTTAGTAATATTTTAGTAAATAATTAATTTCTTTGTTTTTTTTTGCTTAAAATATTATTTTTTTAAGGTTCTTAAATGCTGATTATGAAAGATGCTTCGATTTTACATAAGAATCAACCCCAAATCAAGAGTCTTTAAGTTTATAATTAGCTTACAAACTATTAGACAGAAAAATTAGCCGAAAACAAACAATTTTACTCAAATAAAAGCATAATTTCAGTGATATTTACTTTCTGCAGCAAAATAATTCACATGTGACTTTAAAGAATAAAAATTGACACCCTTTGCCACCTCACCCCGATGATGAATAAGCCATTAACTTTAATTGTTATTTGCTTTCAGTTAGATACTAAGAAGTAGGTATAGTTGTCATCTGGTACATGAATATTTAATGCTCAACGCAACATCAAACGTAATACGTACAAATGCGGCGCGAAAATGTGCAAGCACAAGATAAGTAGATGGATATCTGTTATAAACACGTACACACTTAGACTCCCGCCCGCCGCCGCCGCCAGCACGCTCGAGTACTTGCAGCGCGCCCTCCACCATTCAGCAATCACTCTTCGTTTTGGCATGCCGCATGCCCTCTTTCGCTATTTCGCACGCACATACATTATGTACACACACTCGTCGCCAGTGGTGTGCTGCTGCTTGCTGTCTGTTATCCATCTAAACTGCTTGAAAGTTTTGTCAACAAACACACCATGTAAATCCACTCGGGCGCGAATCCGACCAATATTTCTACTGCATCAAAATTTCCCTACCATCCTGCCCTTCTTCAACGCGATGATAAACAAATACAAATTATTTACGATGAATTTTCATGCGTAAACTTTTTTCCTCGCGTTGGGAAAAATTCCTTTGGCGCTTCGAAATCATGTGAGAATTGCTCGTCGCTTGATTCTGACATTCCTCTTTGGTGCGTCACTGCAAACAGTTTTCGCGTAAAACAACGGAAGTCCTCATTTTCTTTGTCGTTCGACGCCGCCGCCGCGAGGCTCGAACCTTCCAACACGTTCCCAATGACATGTCTCTCACTATATATATATTTTCGAAATTTTTCCATCGCGCCCCCATGCAGGATGCTATAAGGGGCGGCCAATTTATAAAACATGACGTTATTTCCCCTTTTGT